TGTGTGTGTGCGTGCGTGTCTGTGTGCATACACAATCACAGCCTGTGTGTGCATGCATATGTGTGTGTGTGTGTGTGTGTAATGCAAGCATGTGTGTGTGTGTGTGTGTGTGTGTAATGCAAGCATGTGTGTGTGTGTGTGTGTGTGTGTAATGCAAGCATGTGTGTGTGTGTATGTAATGCAAGCATGTGTGTGTGTGTGTGTGTGTTTGTGTGCATGCATGTGTGTGTGTGTGTGTGTGTGTTTGTGTGTGTGTGTGTGCAAGCATGTGTGTGTTTGTGTGCATGCATACCGGTATGTGTGTGTGTGTGTGTGTGTGTGTAATGCAAGCATGTGTGTGTTTGTGTGCATGCATATGTGTGTGTGTGTGTGTGTGTGTGTGTGTGTGTGTGTGTGTGTGTGTGTAATGCAAGCATGTGTGTGTGTGTGTGTGTGTGTGTGTGTGTAATGCAAGCATGTGTGTGTTTGTGTGCATCATATGTGTGTGTGTGTGTGTGTGTGTGTGTGTGTGTGTAATGCAAGCATGTGTGTGTTTGTGTGTGTGTGTGTGTGTGTGTGTGTGTGTGTGTGTGTGTCTCCACACTCACAGCCTGACAGCCGTGTGTGTACCAGTCCCACACACAGGCCCCCTGAGGCATCACGGTGCTGTAGGGCAGCGCTCCCATGGGCGGCTGCATCTCTGAGACCAGGTCTGGGATCAGCTCCCCGTCACCGCCCTCTCTGATTCTGGCCTCAGCGCCCCCCTGAGCCCAGCCCTCACAGCTGGACTCCAGACCCAGTCGGACCCAGAGGTGCGGGAACAGTCGGCAGATGGAGGAGTCGGCCTCCTCTCCCAGCAGCTCCGACACCATCTCCCTGATCCCTCCGTCCATCTCTGCCTCTCCATCAGAAAGGTCGTGACCCTGAAGGTGAATCTGGTAGGACGGAGTTGAGGCGTGAACATCGATCTGATCTGGGTCCACAGCAGCTGCAGTACCACCCTGGCAGAGAGCTCGGTAATGAATCCAGTTTGGGTCGGTGGTTCTGGTGGAGGTTTGGACCTCAAGGTTTGGAGAGGAAGTGTCGGCGTTTGTTTCTTCCTGATTCTTTTGGTCTGATGATGAATTTTCCAGCTGAACCAAACCCTTACACACGTCCTGCGGTATGCCGGCGCTGAGTGAGATGTCCAACCGGCCAGAGGGAGCAATGGAGGAGGAAATCTGGGAGGTACAGGAGGTGGGCTGAGAGGTGATGGAGGGGTTCTCTACACCACCAACTGGATGGTGGACTTCATCGTCTTGTGGACCTTTTACATCCTGGATCTGACTCTGGACCAGTCCGCTCTCTGATGTGCTCTGCGGGGGAGGAGCAGCAGGAGGAACAGCACCAGGAACAGCAGTAGGACTAGGAGCAGCAGGATGAGAGGCAGAAGTAGGAGGAGCAAGATGAGGAGCAGCAGTGGCAGGAGGAACAGTAGCAGGAGGAGTAGGAGGAACAGGAGGAGGAGGTGCAAGATGTGGAGCAGCAGGAGGAGCAGCAGCAGTATGAGGAGCAGCAGTAGCAGGAGGAACAGTAGGAGGAGGAGTAGGAGGAACAGGATAAGGAGCAGCAGCATGAGGAGGTGCAGCAGGATGAGGAGCAGCAGTAGCAGGAGGAACAGTAGCAGGAGGAGTAGGAGGAACAGGAGGAGGAGTAGCAGGAGGAGGAGGTGCAAGATGTGGAGCAGCAGGAGGAGGTGCAGCAGTATGAGGAGCAGCAGTAGCAGGAGGAACATTAGCAGGGGACGTAGGAGGAACAGGAGGAGGAGGTGCAAGATGTGGAGCAGCAGGAGGAGGTGCAGCAGGATGAGGAGCAGCAATAGCAGGAGGAACAGTAGCAGGAGGAGTAGGAGGAACAGGAGGAGGAGGTGCAAGATGTGGAGCAGCAGGAGGAGGTGCAGCAGTATGAGGAGCAGCAGTAGCAGGAGGAACATTAGCAGGGGGAGTAGGAGGAACAGGAGGAGGAGGTGCAAGACGTGGAGCAGCAGGAGGAGGTGCAGCAGGATGAGGAGCAGCAGTAGCAGGAGGAGTAGGAGGAACAGGTGGAGGAGTAGCAGGAGGAACAGTAGCAGGAGGAGTAGGAGGAACAGGATGAGGAGCAGCAGGAGGAACAGCAACAGGAACAGCAGTAGGATTAGGAGCAGCAGGATGAGGGGCAGAAGTAGGAGGAGCAAGATGAGGAGCAGCAGTGGCAGGAGGAACAGTAGCAGGAGGAGTAGGAGGAACAGGAGGAGGAGGTGCAAGATGTGGAGCAGCAGGAGAAGCAGCAGCAGTATGAGGAGCAGCAGTGGCAGGAGGAGTAGCAGCAGGATGCATAGCAGCAGTAGCAGGAGGAACAGTAGGAGGAGGAGTAGGAGGAACAGGATAAGGAGCAGCAGCATGAGGAGGTGCAGCAGGATGAGGAGCAGCAGTAGCAGGAGGAACAGTAGCAGGAGGAGTAGGAGGAACAGGAGGAGGAGTAGCAGGAGGAGGAGGTGCAAGATGTGGAGCAGCAGGAGGAGGTGCAGCAGTATGAGGAGCAGCAGTAGCAGGAGGAACATTAGCAGGGGACGTAGGAGGAACAGGAGGAGGAGGTGCAAGATGTGGAGCAGCAGGAGGAGGTGCAGCAGGATGAGGAGCAGCAATAGCAGGAGGAACAGTAGCAGGAGGAGTAGGAGGAACAGGAGGAGGAGTAGCAGGAGGAACAGTAGCAGGAGGAGTAGGAGGAACAGGATGAGGAGCAGCAGGAGGAACAGCAACAGGAACAGCAGTAGGATTAGGAGCAGCAGGATGAGGGGCAGAAGTTGGAGGAGCAAGATGAGGAGCAGCAGTGGCAGGAGGGACAGTAGCAGGAGGAGTAGGAGGAACAGGAGGAGGAGTAGCAGGAGGAGGAGGTACAAGATGTGGAGCAGCAGTGGCAGGAGGAACAGTAGCAGGAGGAGAAGGAGGAACAGGAGGAGGAGTAGCAGGAGGAGGAGGTGCAAGATGTGGAGTAGCAGTGGCAGGAGGAACAGTAGGAGGAGGAGTAGGAGGAACAGGATAAGGAGCAGCAGTAGCAAGAGCAGCAGCATGAGGAGGTGCAGCAGGATGAGGAGCAGCAGTAGCAGGAGGAACAGTAGCAGGAGGAGGAGGTGCAAGATGTGGAGCAGCAGGAGGAGGTACAGCAGTATGAGGAGCAGCAGTGGCAGGAGGAGTAGCAGCAGGATGCATAGCAGCAGTAGCAGAAGGAACAGTAGCAGGAGGAGTAGGAGGAACAGGAGGAGGAGGTGCAAGATGTGGAGCAGCAGTAGCAGGAGGAACAGTAGCAGGAGGAACAGGGGGAGGAGGTGCAAGATATGGAGCAGCATGAGGAGGTGTAGCAGGATGAGGAGCAGCAGTAGCAGGAGGAACAGTAGCAGGAGGAGTAGGAGGAACAGGGGGAGGAGGTGCAAGATGTGGAGCAGCATGAGGAGGTGCAGCAGGATGAGGAGCAGCAGTAGCAGGAGGAGCAGCATGAGGAGGTGCAGCAGGATGCATAGCAGCAGTAGCAGGAAGAGTAGGAGGAACAGGAGGAGGAGGTGCAAGATGTGGAGCAGCATGAGGAGGTGCAGCAGGATGAGGAGCAGCAGTAGCAGGAGGAGCAGCATGAGGAGGTGCAGCAGGATGCATAGCAGCAGTAGCAGGAAGAGTAGGAGGAACAGTAGCAGGAGGAGTAGGAGGAACAGGAGGAGGAGGTGCAAGATGTGGAGCAGCATGAGGAGGTGCAGCAGGATGAGGAGCAGCAGGAGGAGCAGCAGTAGCAGGAGTAGCAGCAGAATGAGGAGCAGCATGAGGAGGTGCAGCAGGATGAGGAGCAGCAGGAGGAGCAGCTGGATGAGGAGCAGCAGTAGCAGGAGGCTGAGGGAGACTCTGACCCAGAACCTCTGTTCTGTCCTCTGAAGCCTCACAGACTTTCACCCCCCCACAGATCTCATAGGAGGTGTCGCACCCTCCAGAACCCGTCCAGTTCTGACCCGTTTCAGAGGAACCAGACAGAACATCAGCTGTCTGGGTTTCTGCTCCTGGAGTCTGGTTGTTGTCTTCATGCTCTGAGGTGAACACCCCCCCACACTCAGCTCCATCACACAGCTGTCCACTCGGACCCGACCCAGAACCAGAACTAGAACATGTTGGTTCAGAATCTCCTCCGGATCCAGATGAAGGTCTGTTAGAAAAAATGTCGGACATTTTGGAAATTGTTATTAAATCTGAGGGAGGATCCAGAACCACATGACCCGATAGGCGGGGTGGTTCTGTGTCCGTGTTTCTGCAAACGCCCACAGAGGCGGATTCAGTCCGGACGGACCGCTGGTTCTGGAGCAGGTTGGTGTTTGTGTTTACAGATGAGGGTTCTGACAGGTTCGGTTCTGGAGCTGCTGCTGACTCATAGATGTTCTGATCAGCTCTGGACTCAGGATGATGACCAGAGGCCCGGTTCTGATCCATGTCATTACAGTCAGAAATGTCTTCATCTGTGAGACGGTTAAACTCGTGAGACAGAGGGTCTTCCCTGGCCCCGGGCCAAGAGTCAGACACAGAGTCCACATGTTCCCCAGATGGTTCGGCCGCGTGTAGAACCACACACGCCACTTCCTGGTCATGTGACCTTCGGGTCAGCTTAGACTCAGTGTCTGAAAAAGTCCCCGATTGGCTTAAAACTGGAGGTCTCACCGTCCAGGATGGAGCAGCTGTTTCTCCTTCAACGGTGGGGACGGATGGTGTTCCAGCTGTCTGGTCCTGGTTCTGGTTCTGGTTCTGGTCATGCTCAAGATCTGCAGCATCAATAGGACAGATGCTGTAGAAGTGAAGAGTTTTTGTTTCTGTTACCTGACAGAGCGTGGACATGCTGATGGAGTGTTTGTCTCCTTCCTCCTCCTGAGGAGGACCCTGAGAGACTCCAGCCCCCTGAGGAGGACCCTGAGAGACTCCAGCCCCCTGAGGAGGACCCTGAGAGACTCCAGCCCCCTGAGGAGGACCCTGAGAGACTCCAGCCCCCTGAGGAGGATCCTGAGAGACACCGACCTCCTGAGGAGGATCCTGAGAGACACCGACCTCCTGAGGAGGACCCTGAGAGACACCAGCCCCCTGAGGAGGACCCTGAGAGACACCGACCTCTTGAGGAGGACCCTGAGAGACACCGACCTCTTGAGGAGGACCCTGAGAGACTCCAGCCCCCTGAGGAGGACCCTGAGAGACACCGACCTCCTGAGGAGGACCTTGAGGAATCCCACCATCTGTGCCATGGACCCAGTGAAGAACAGAAGTGAAAACAACAGGAGACGAGAGACTTTCTGTCCTCGTGAGCTGGATCTGGTCCGGCAGCACCACCTTGGATGCTGGTTTGTCTAGACTCTGAATGGACACCTCCATATAAGGAGGCGGTCCACAGCTGAGACTGGTGGCACATGTCCCATCACCCTTTGTTTCTGTGATAGCGTAGCTGGTGATAATAGGCTCCTTAGCTTTGAGAGACGCTGTCCAAACACCGTTGTCCAGTTCTGGATTGTCTTCCTTCTCCTTTGGAGCTTTGAGTCCAGCTGGTGGGACACGTGGGTCCTCTTCCTCCAGACTCACGTGTTGAGCCAGAACCACAGCGTGTTGCCGGACCTGCTCCGTCACCGGGCTGAGTCCATGCAGGTGTGGCGATGCTAACAGGCCGCTGGTCTCCGTCTGTGGGACGGGGCTGAGCTCCTTACTAAAGCAGCACCCCATCCTCCACCGAAGGAATAAAACTAGCGACGGCACCAAGAGCTTCACAACATCAGACCAAATCCTGAGCAGCTCCTCGGACACATGCACCCCCCGGCCTAGTCCCGCCCCCGAACCCCCCTCTTTCTGCCCAGAATAGAAAACGTGAAGAGGCTCACATGTTCCTGCCACTCAACACGGAGCTGCACACCACTTTTTCTCTGTGTGTGTGTGTGTGTGTGTGTGTGTGTGTGAGAGAGAGAGAGACCTTGTAAAGAGAGGGGTCAGTAGTGTCACATGGTCCAGAAGCCACCAATCAGAACACCGTCTTCACCCCCCATCTGACCATGAGACATTTCTCCAGGAGACATCGGTGGACTGAGCAGGGACCCTGACCTGGTGATGCTGAATTCTGAGGTGATGGTTTAAAAACTTTACCAGATGAAACCTGGAAGTCAGACCCTCTATTATAAATAATAATAAATAGTAAATAAATCATTTCTTCTGACGGTGAAAGAGAAACCTTCAGCAAGTCCACCCTGGTCCCCGACAGAACGTTAAGCAGCCTGGGTCTGAAGACGTGACCTCTTAGAGGACTGTAGGTCATAGATGGTTGTTTACTTTTGAACCGGTGTGGAAAACATCTAAACTCATGAACCCAAAAACCTTTTCAAACATTTAAAGTTGTGTGTTGTAAAGTCCCCGAACTTCAGCACACCCCAGATCTAGTTAGCGCAGGGGTCCCCAATCCTGGTCCCCGAGGGCCGGTATCCAGCAGGTTTTGTGGTTTTTCTGCTCCAACAGACTTGATTCAGTGGTTGAATCACCTGTGCAGCAGCCCATCAGGCTCTGCGGAAGTCTGTTAATCACCTGCTGATTGAAATCAGGTGTGTTGAAGCAGGGTTACAACTAAAACATGCAGGATACCGGCCCTCCAGGACCAGGACTGGGGACCCCTGAGTTAGCGTGTGTGTGTGTGTGTGTGTGTGTGTGTGTGTGTGTGTGTGTGTGTGTGTGTGTGTGTGTGTGTGTGTGTGTGTGTGTGTGTGTGTGTGCGCGTAATGCAAGCATGTGTGTGTTTGTGTGCATGCATGCGTGTGTGTGTGTGTGTGTGTGTGTGTGTGTGTGTGTGTGTGTGTGTGTGTGTGTGTGTAATGCAAGCATGTGTGTGTTTGTGTGCATGCATGTGTGTGTGTGTGTGTGTGTGTGTAATGCAAGCATGTGTGTGTGTAATGCAAGCATGTGTGTGTGTGTGTGTGTGTGTGTGTGTGTGTGTGTGTGTGTGTGTGTGTGTGTGTGTGTGTGTGTGTGTGTGTGTGTGTGTGTGTGTGTGTGTGTGTGTGTGTGTGTCATCAGCAGTTACAGTACCTGGTACCAGTCAGGCCAGTAGTAACCAGGCAGCTGCTCCGGCTGATCAGCTGGATCTAGAGGACTCTGCTGTGACATCAGGACGGAGGGAGGGCTGCAGGACAACTGGTGGTCCCCACTGGTGATGCGAGCAGGGCCGAGAAGGAAGAGAGTCACAAAACCAGCTGACATGATGGAAACGCCGGGGCGGTTCGATGCCTCAATCAGAAATAGGTCTTCTAATAAACATGAATCGATGATCAGGATGCTTTAATACCATAAGGACCCATCACCATGTTCTGTGAGCTTCAGTAACAGTTGACTGGACAGATATCTGGCTGACAGCAGATAAACATATTTACAGGCTCTGATGTTACCTTTATGGAGCGTTGCAGTAATTAATGCCACCGCGTTTCCATTCTTGTTCATTTATAAACCATAAAAACAGCAGAAGGACTCGTTTAGAGAGGAAACCTGCGTTAGTGATCTGAAAACATCTGTACCTGAATAAAGAACTCAATGATGAACCCTGGATATTACACCTGCATCGTGTTGAGTTTTTAAAAGTTAGAAAACCATTTTATTTACTTCCGTCTTTTATTTTAACTTTGTTATTGACCAGGAGACCTTCTGCAAAAGCAGTTCCTTTACCTGGAAAAGTCCCGTTTTCTTTACTTTACTGGCTGCTCATCAGAAACCTCGGGTGTCAAAAATGAGCAGAAAACGGTGTATTTATTTTTTTAATTTTTAGCTGTAAATCTAAACCTTGAACACATGATATTGAAATGATGAATCTGACAGATCAGACATCATTTCAGGCTAAAACACTCGAGTAAACGTCGCATCAGCAGTTTAACTTCATAAAAACAACATAATTCACGTTTTACTGTATGAGAAAAACCAGCTACCTTCATTATAATAATAACTGATATTTAACGGTAACATTAACTTAAAGACTGCTGCTATTTGAGCTTATTCATCTCATTTAAAACTCGTTTGTGGTAAAAACACAAACCTAAAGCATCATTTTGGTGATTTTAGCTCAGACCGTTGAAACTTTGGTTACCTACCATTGGCACGGAGCTTTTCTCAGTGATGAATCCATCCTTGCTCCAAACTAACGGACAACGGAAACCTTTAAAACACGAACTTGCCCGAACTCTTTAGTCGATTTCACCGAAGTGAACGCGACTCGTCTTCCTGAAGCTGTGACGCGTTTCAGTCCAAAAGCATCTCCTCTTTGAAAGCAGGTGGTCGGTTATTCGGGTTCACGCTGTTGGGTTAAACACCTGCCGACAGTTACCGATGCTAATGCAGCTAAATGCTGCTGCGGGTTCCGCTCTGCTCTGTTATCGCTAATCATCTAAATGTACTCTTATTTTGAAACCGGAACTCACCTGAATACACCCTCTAGATTTCCGGTTTTACAGCCGTTTGTTTATGAAGCGGCACAGGAAGAAACGGTTACCATGGCGAAGGGTCAGGGACTGGTTTTAGTGCTAGAGTTTGATGGTTAATTTAGTTACTTAAAGTGGATTAATTGGCATTGTTGTCAATTAATGACGTGAACATCGTGACGTCATGTTTTCTGGGGCTAGTTGGGTGTGTGGCCAGTATACCTCTGCTTGCTGTAATTGCCATTTTATTAGTTAGAATCATTTTCATAAACAGTCCATTAAATAAAACCAAAACATTTTAATACTTGCAGGTAGTAGAACCCCCCAAGGTGCTTTACATCTCATCAGCCATATAAAAGTACTCTGTCTTATTACTTCTGGTATTAGATATTCATGTTACAACTCAATATTAATCCGTTATATTTATTCAGAACATGCTCAAATGTTTATTCATCCACTTTCTTTATTCTGTTATCCGGTGGGTTTATTTATAAAAATAAGTGATTCCTGATCCAGGTAGCAGCTGCAGCTTTTAGTCGGCTTAAATGCAAGTTTGCTCCAATGACATCATTAAAAAAGGAATACGATGTTTTCCTATAAATAAAAAACAACATTGAGCCCATTTTGGAATTCAAACATGAAATATTTCCTACAAGAATAAAACGAAGCACAGAAAAGCAAATTAAACAGAACGATGTGTAACCTCAGGATGTAAAACCAAAGTGTGGCTGAAACAGTCTGATGGACTCAGGAGCTTTCATCAGTCTCTCCTGAGCGGACGAGCCTCTGGGTCGTCTGGGCCCCTGGCGCTGGGACCAGAGGCTCCACGGGCGGGTCGGATCAGGAGTACAGGCTCCAGTAGATGGTGTTGAAGAGCAGGTAGGCCAGCGGGAAGGCCAGGCGCGAGTACGAGTCGATCATGTAGCTGTTACTGACCAGCAGGTCCACGTTCTCACGCACCGAGCGCTGCCGGCGCAGCCGGGTCCCCTCCGTGGGACGCAGGTCCGAGTTCTGGCTCGGCGTGTTCAGGGGGTTGGAGGTCAGCGTGGGCGCCATCCCATGGAACGTGGTCAGATCAATGTCGTCGTCATGGAAACATCCGTCGAAGGCCATTGCTTGGCTGGCGTTAAAGGCGGAGGGGATCTGAGAAGGGAACGCATTTTTTATTTATTTCAGTTTGAACTAGTGATGTGTTTTTATTTAGAGCTGCAACTAAACTGTTTCTACTGATGCAGGATTAGTGATCACAATCCCCGATCACCAGGATGATCACTCTAATGATCAGAATGTGTGTGTGTGTGTGCGTGCGTGCGTACGTGCGTGTGTGTGTGTGTGTGTGTGTTCTGTCTTCTCCATCCCCAGTGAGTCGTGGAGGATGGCTGCTTATACTGAGCCAGGATTCTCCGGAGGTTTCTTCCTGTTAAAAGGGAGTTTTCCTCTCCACTGTCGCTGCATGCTTGCTTAGTATGAGGATTGCTGTAAAGTCACTGACACTAGTCAGTGACTTGATGCAATTTGCTGGGTTCCTTATATAGGAAACATTATTTCTGATTGGCTTAATGAACTGACCTGAATTGGAATGTTTATTATGTGAAGTGCCTTGAGACGACTCTTGTCGTGATTTGGCGCTTTATAAATAAACTTGAATTGAATTGAATTGAAAGATCTGACGTTTCCTTCGGTCCACGAACGCACCATTACTAATAAGGAAATCTGAACTTCCAGAATCGTTATTTTAAAGTTGATCAGCAGTTAAACACCGTTGTTTTAACCTCAGATGAAAGTAGGTCTGTGCTGATAAAACATATAAATCTGTATCAGTCCTGAAAGCAGACCCGATGTATCTCCGTAGTTTTATGTAATATAATAATAATGATGAGTAGACGCTTTAACGCAGCTAAAAACATTTACATTTAAAATAAACATCAACTAGTTTGTGGACTTCAGGAAAGTCACAGCCCCATCTCTCCCCCTCGTCCTGACGGACTCTCCCGTCACCACTGTGGACTCCTTCCGCTTCCTCGGAACCACCATCACACATGACCTTAGGTGGGAGCCATCCTTCAGCTCCCTGATCAAAAGGCCCAGCAGAGGATGTACTTCCTGCGGCGGTTGAAAAAGGCCAAGCTGCCGGCCCAGATGATGGTGCAGTTTTACACGGCCATCATTGAGTCCATCCTCACCTCCTCCATCGCTGTGTGGTACGCTGGAGCCACGGTGAGGGACAAACATAGACTGCAGCGCATTGTGCGCTCTGCTGAGAAGGTGATTGGCTGCAGCCTTCCATCTCTCCAGGACCTGTACGTCTCCAGAACTCGGGGGCGTGCAGGTCGGATGGCAGCTGACCCTTCTCACCCGGGTCACAGACTTTTTGAGCTGCTCCCCTCAGGCAGGAGGTTACGGTCCATCCGGACCAGAACCTCCCGCCATAAGAACAGCTTCTTTCCATCTGCCGTTAGACTTGTGAACAGCTTATAAACACACAACCATGTTCGTCTTCTGTACTCGACACGACGTCACGTTATCGGCCATGTTACCATTACCTGCCATTTTTATAGCTGAATGTTTTATTCTAGGTTTTTTATTCTACTTTATTCTAGTTTTAATCTTATTATTCATGTTATATGTAGCACATTAGTACCGAAGCAAGTTCCTAGTTTGTGAGTTGTTTGTTCACTGACAATGGCAATAAACCTGATTCTGATTCTGATTATAAAAACTATTTATAATGTTAGAAATTTTACAAAGATTTGTAAAAATTACGCAGATTTTAACTTTACTGAAAACTAAAAGAGTCCGACTGTCCCGCTGATCACCTCCAGATGAGTGAGGCGCTAGTTTGTAATCATGTTCGTCTTTTTTCTTAGAGATTCACAAAAACAAATCTGATCATTAGAACGTTAAATCAATAAGCGGTTTAACAGTTTTAAAACGGTTCTCTCAGAACAAACTTCAAAACGGTAAATTATTAATTTACTGAATTTGTTTATTTATGTCACTCAAAATAAAAGAGATCACTTGCTGGACTCTCACTGTTGTCTTTTTAGTTGTAAACAAAAATCAATTCCTTATTTATTCAGAAGAAAACTCAAATCTTTGTCCCGTTTAGATGTAATGTCTCAGTTTAACCACAAGAGGGAGACGAAGGACCTATCTCTGACCTTGCCCCCCTTCATCTTCCTCATCTCCTCCAGGGTGGTGCAGTAGTTCACGGCGGCGTATTCGATCACAGACAGGAAGACAAACAGGAAGCTGGTCCACAGGTAAATGTCCACCGCTTTCACGTACGAGACCTGGACACAAACGGTCCCCAGAACCTCAAAACATGTTTCAGTCCAACATCGTTTATGAAACAGTTTTATGTTTGTCTTTGACTAAACTCGTTTATGTTCCCGCGACCCTGCATGGACAAGCGGGTAGGAGGGATTTTTATGAGTCAATAAGCTGAAATCTGCGGGTCAGATAAGTCAAAGCTGTACAGAAGGCAGTATTGGTCCTCAAAACCAAAATCGGTGCATCTGCTCTTCAAAATCCTTTTAATTCATTCAGTTATTTTTAAAATAATCAGTAAATTCCTTCAGCTGGACCCTGAGCTCCCATGTGAGTCCTGCAGGATCCAGGTAGGTCCGCATGCTCACCTGAGGCATGGACGAGGACACCCCGGTGATGATGGTGGACATGGTGAGCACCGTGGTCATACCTGCAGGAACACAAAAACACTTTCTTCAGTTTGGCAGAACGTTTAGTGCTGCTCTGCTGGTGCTTCTGGGTCTTCTGAGACAGCAGGAAAGGAGGGGACCCCAATCCCAACGTTACCCAGAGACACCCGAGCAGGAACGGCCCTCCTGTCAATCCAGAAGGAGACCCAGGAGAGGACGACCATCAGCATGGTGGGGAAGTAGGTTTGCAGCATGAAGAAGAAGATGTGCCGCCGCAGGATGAAGTTTATGAAGAGACGATTGTACCAACCTGACAGAGAGAGAGAGACCATGTCTCTAATCTAATCTGGATTAGGACCAGCCAGAGGTAATCATTCTGAGTGACCAGCAGTTGCTCACCGGTGCTGCTGTAGAAGGCGAGGCCGCTGGAGGCGTGGAAATGTTCGATGAAGAACTGAGACAAGACGATCTCATCCGTCCTCAGAGAGTCGTTCCCGTTCTTCCAGTAAAGCATCAAGTCGTTCTCGTTGTAAGCATCTGTGGTGAAACGGCTGCTGTTACTGCTCCATCTCTCTCACACACACACGCACACACACACACACGCACACAAACACACACGCACACACACATATGTGTGTGTGGAGCTCCACTGCCTTCTCCAGAGACTCCACTCTGCCTAACCCAACCCTAACCAGTAGGGTTCTGTTCCTAACCCTAACCTAAACTACCACCAGACCTCTGGGACCAGGTCTTAGGTGCTCCACACTGTGTGGACCAGCAAAATGTCCCCTCAATGTAAAAATGTCAACACAGTACAGGTTAAAGTTCAAATCTGTCCAATTAAATCTATAAAGACAAATACACACACACACACACGCACGCACATGCACGCACACACACACATGAACGCACGCACCCACACACACAGTGTGTATTTCTGTCTCACAGCTTTCAAGCTCCAACGAGCAGTTCTGAGTGTCCAGAGGAAAACTACTGAAGTCCATCGAGCAGAGAGCCGTCACCGTGGCCCTGAAACACACACACACACACACACACACACACACACACACACACACACACACACACCATCAGTTACCACGGAGACATGATTTTCATGACTGTGTGCATTCTTGTCTTGGGAAATGTCCCCAACAGGCTCCTGTAGTGTTTCTCCTAAACTTTAGGAGTTTTTTTTTTGGTACCAAATGAAAAATTCAAATAAACAAATAAAAAAAATGACAATAAAACATTCAGATAAAAACGCATTCATCTGAAAAACCAAACCGATAAAGTTAACGTTTACATGCTGATTCATTTATTTATGATATTGGTTTTATCTTCGGATCTTAATCCCGTTTAGATTCCTGCAGATTTTCATCTACAGAAACAGAAAAAACGAAAGACATGAACCAGAACCGGCAGAGGGTTCAGTGAGAAGTGGACCGCCACACCTCAGCGCTTACACTCAGATGATCTTGGGATTAAAGTTATTATCAATGTTTGGAGGATCTAATCCCAACCTGACACTATAGAGAATGTTTCCATCGGGGTAGACCCGCAGCATGATGTTCTCAGTGGTGGTGTCGTGGATGAAGGAGCGTTTGGAGTGGACGAAGAAGACGTCGGGGACCCAGATCTTCTTCACCAGCCGGGAGTCGAACGTCCGGCTCTTGTTGCTGTGAGACGGAAAGGACAGCCGCTCGTCCTTCCAGTAGTGCCGCAGGTAGAGGGTCATGGTGAAGTCCTGCACAGAGACGGGCACATGGTCCACATTTACCAGCTGATAGAACCTGCAGTTCTGGAGAGTCTGAGGAACACTCTGACTTATCTGAGTCTAAAGCTGCTGGATTTCTGTAACAAAACAAGGTTCAATAAAGTTTTTATTTCAAATCAGATTATTTAGGACATGAAAAGAGTCTGTTGTGGTTTTTACAGTCTCATCAGTCCAGCTCAGGTTGCCATGGCGACATCCCCTGCATCATTTATCTCTCTTCTTCAAGGACCAGCTGAATTCAAAGGTCACACACCAGATGTGGTGAAGCAGCAGGAAGTGATGTCATTTTTATTGTTTCTCTTTGGATGGATGACCAAGCAGCAATGAATGTATCTACATCCCATAATTAAGGTCTCTTCAGGTTATAAATGTGCTTTTTGTGCAGAACAGCTAAAGATTGTTTTAACAAGAAACCGACATGAATTCCTCACCTCTGTTTGTTCTTTCACTGAAGTAAAAGTTTATTTGTTTATTCCTGAACCGAAACAGGAAGCAGATTAAGGAAGAATTAACAATTTCAAATTAAAATAAAATGTTGTCTGTTCTACTCTTAATTTGTTGATTTGATAAAAAAAAACATCTCAGTCGTGAGAGTTCAGATTTCCACAGATTGGGATGGAATCTTCTCAGACGAACTTTCTGTTCCAGTTTCTCACGTTGGTCTCAGTTTTTATGACGTTTATTTGAGTCAGACTTTCACAGAGGAGCCGTTAGCATCGCAGCATCATGAGGGAATTTAAAAGATGTCAGAAATGGTTCACATGTTGCTCTCGTGTTGCTGGAGCTTAAAGTTAAAGCAGTTATCTTTAAACAACCAGACGTTTGTTGACCCTGTGAAACCCCTCTGGGAGGAGTTGGAGACGTTTGGGACAAGCTGAGGCTGACTGGAGACAGGAGAGAGAAATGAAGACTGTAAACAGATAATCAAACCTCACGTTTTCCTCCTGCCTTCCTCTCCTCCGTCTGCATTGCCCTTCACAATAAAAGCTGAAACAGCCTGAATCCTTTCTGCAGGTTTATTTCTTAGCTGCTGTAAATAAAACTGGAACTCACCATGTTGACCTCTGAGATACTGTCGATGCTCTCCACCTGCACATCGATGCCCACGGGGATGGCTGCAGCTACAAAAATGACAAAAAAGGAAAAAAATAAATCAATGTTTTTAGTTAGACTTTCATTTTCCTCTCAAATTTAATTATTTCTTTATTGTTTACATTTACATCATTAAATTGAATTTATTAATTTAGTTTCATTTCAGAATGTTTATATCTCCAATATTTTTTCTGTTTGTTCATTTTAGACCTGTTATTGTAGACCGGCTTATTTCTATGTTTAACTCTAAAGTTTTATGTGAATTCAAAACACTTAAAAACTTTTGAGCTTTCATGAACAAGTGAGCTCATCATGAACCTGTTGAAATCACACAGAAATCAAGTCCAGAATACGTGTTTTACCTAATGATAAAACATACTACACATGTTACACGTGAACAAGCTGTTTCTCCTGTTTCAGATTCCATTTTTGTTCCAAATTCCTGAACACTACATGCATTTCACACGTGATGTTTGTTTATGACTGATTACTCACAAAGCCAAGATTTTTTAATTAAATGAGTGACTGATTTTTATTAAATGCTGACAATAACATTTAGTTATCAAGTCAACCTAATAAAATAACCTTTCAAGTTAATTTAGTAACTGTTTTAATCCAGGGACTCGTTAATTTACATGTTTTTGGCCTCTGGGAGGAACTGGAGGATATGCAAACTCCTGAGAACATGCCAACTCCAGAGGAGAACATGTTAACCTGTGACGAAAACATGCTAACTTCAGAGGAGAACATGCTAACTCCTGAGGGGAAAATGCTATCTCCTGAGAAGAGTATATTAACTTGTGACGAGAACACGCTAAACTTTAAAGGAGAACATGCTAATCCCTGAGAACATGCGTGAGGAGAATGTGCTAATACCTGAGAACATGCTAACTTCTGAGCAGAGCATGCTAATTCCTGAGAACATGCTAACTCCTGAGGAGAACGTGTTAAACTGTGACGAAAACATGCTGCTAACTCCTGAGGGGAAAATGCTATCTCCTGAGAAGAGTATATTAACTTGTGATGAGAACACGCTAACTTTAGAGGAGAACATGCTAATCCCTGAGAACATGCATGAGGAGAACATGCTAATCCCTGAGAACATGCTAACTTCTGAGGAGAACATGCTAACTCCAGAGGAGAACATGCAAACTTTTGAGGTGAGCATGAACATATTCACTTGTGACGAGAACATGCAAACTTTTGAAGAGAACATGCTAACTCCATAGGCGAACATGCTTAATCCAGAGGAGATCATGCTAACTCCTGAGGAGATGATGCTAACTTCTGAGGAGATGATGCTAACTTCTGAGGAGATGATGCTAACTTCTGAGGAGATGATGCTAACTTCTGAGCAGAGCATGCTAACTCCTGAGGAGATGATGCTAAGTCCAGAGGAGAACATGCTAACTTCTGAGCATAACATGCTAACTCCAGAGGAGAACATGCTAACTTCTGAGCAGAGCTAACTCCTGAGGAGAACATGTTAACCTGTGATGAAAACATGCTAACTTCTGAGAACATGCTAACTCCAGGGGAGATGATACCAACTCCTGAGGAGAACCTGCTAACTCCAATGGGGAACATGTTAACTTCTTGCAGAAAGGCTGCAGCTGGGATTCAAACCAGCGACCTTCCCTGTGTGAGGTACCAGAGCTTCATCTGCTCCAGCGAACAGCACCAACAGATCTTCTCTGTAACTAGCTCCAAGAGAAATGATCATGGAGGTAGAAGAGAATAGCCGAGTGGGCCGGCCGTGTGTCTTTAATCCAATCCTGTGTTCTGGCCTGTAAACCTCATTCTGGTTGATGACATCCTTTTGTTTTTGCCACAAGCTCACCACATCTGCCCCCCAGCCCTGCCCCTCCTCATTAGCAGATTAAACATGATCTGAGCCACAAACAGCTAAACAGCACAAATCCTCATCCAAAACCAAAAAAGCCTCAGATCCCAGCTACTCTGGTCCTCTGCCTCCACCAGGAGCTGGGGAGGTTTCTCCGCTCCACAAAACCACTTCACTAAATCTTCACCGTGTTGCAACAGCCCACAAGTTCCCTTGACTAATTTTGGGATTTGGTCTGCGCTGTGATCATCCCGCCTTCACCACATCATCAACAATAGATTTACTCTGGTTTAAACCTAAAAGAGCCTCCAGTCCTGCTCTGTGGTGCATCAGAACAACAGGAAGTGGAACTGGCAGGAAGAAAACAGATCCGTGTCGCTGAGATTTATCTGCGTCTAAATCTGAACCTAAAGGTCCAGCTGGTGGAGTTAATGCAGCAGCCAGACATCCTCAACAGAACCGGTGCAACCTGGATCACTTAACACGTGTTTATTATAATCTGTAACTGGAAATAAACAAAAAAAACCTAAATGTCTGAACACAAACGTAAACATCATTATCTTACATTAATATTTTTATTTGATAGGATTATTCAACAATGAATGAGCAAACAGAACACTTTCCATCGCCAATAACGGGTTTTTCTACTTATTAATACCCAATAATATTATTGTCCCCAAGAAACCCAGGATCAGTGGACTCGTGACTACAGACCTGTGGCTCTGACATCTGTGGTCAAGTCTACGCTTTATCCTGCAACATCTGGACTCCCTGGGTACCTACACCAGGATCCTGTTTGTGGATTTCAGCTCTGCCTTCAACACAATCCTTCCAGACCTCCAAGACGAACGTGCCTGACCCCATCTGCAGGTGGATCACTGACTTCCTGACAGACAGGAAGGAACAAGTCAGGCAGGGGAAGAATCTCTCGGACCCGTGGACCTTCAGTGCTGGTTCTCCTCCAGGCTGTGTTCCTCCCTCTGCTCTTCTCCCCGTACACCAACCACGAGTCTGTCAAGCTTATCTAGTTTGCAGACGACACCACCATCATCGGACTCATCTGAGACGGGGTTGAGTCTGTCTGCAGAATGGAGGTGGAACGGCTGGTGTCCTGGTGCAGCTACAACACCCCCATCACGATGGGCACCACCATCTAGGGTTGTCACGGTAACCGGTGTAGCGGTAAACCCCGGTAAAAAAGTTGACAATAATAATAACTGTCTTGTTTTTAAAAACTATATTATCTTGGTGGTTTACCGTGGCTGCGGTGTAGGCGCGGTGACCCTTACCAGCCACCGTATCTGCTGAAGTTGCCGGCGGCACATGCGCACTTTGTTGTTTACAACCAAAACTTTCTTGAAGCTAAAGCTGAAATAATGGTCAAAGGAGGAGACGGCAGCGCTCAGGACATTTATTATCCCTCAAAGAAGACAAAGTGGGAAGTACGGGCATCTTTTGGATATGTGAAGAATGCCAAGGGACAGTTGATAGAAGACGGCTATCCTGTTTGCAGCACGTGCAGAAAAAGTGTCTGTGAAAGGCAGCAACGCTTCAAATCTCATGACACATCTGCGTGACCATCACCCACATCTCTACAGTCAACGCAAGGCAAGCTAACGTTAGCGTTTTAGCTAAAATGCGTGATCCGAGGATTTGGGTTGAGGGAGAATGCAACGAGTCGCTATATAAAGCAGCCGCAGCGCCGCTACCTGCATATAAACCGTGTCGCGGACACCGCCATGTTGAAATGACGCTATGCATTACGGGGCTCCCAGGGGCAGATAAGAGTTGGTCTCTCTCCGAGAATAATTATGAATTTAACAACGATTACTGCCTGATGACATTTTCCCACATCTGCAAAGCTCACTGGAAGGACACAAACCGAGGACAATATTTTCCTGATATAGGGTTTATTACTCAAGTAAGGGTAAAAAAGTATCTGATTAGAAGGCTACTTGAGTACTGAGTATCATCTGATCTAATATTTTTAAAATGATGACATCAAACAGACATAAAATAAGAAGTTATGGGCAAATATTGGTATTTTAAAGACTAAAGGGGAAAAATGTAAACAAATAACCAACATAATTACAAAATAACACATTTTAGGCAAAATTTAGACACAAACTGAGGACAATATTTCCTGATATACAGGGTTTATTTAGTTGTCTGAAAATGTAACACGTTTAAAAAAATACCGCGATAATACCGAAAACCGTGGTAATTTTGGTCACAATAACCGTGAGGTTACATTTTCACACCGTGACAACCCTACCACCATCACCTAGGACCTCAAGTGAGAGCCCACCATTGCCATCACCACCATCATGAAAAAGGCCCAGCAGAGGATGAACTTCCTGAGGCAGCTCCACACCACAGCCATCGAGTCCATCCTCACCTCTTCAGTCACCGTGTGGTACGCTGGAGCCACCATCACGGACAAGAAGAAGCTGCAGCGTGTTATAGGCTCTGCTGAGAAGGTCACTGGCTGCAAACTCCCCTCCATAAAGGACCTGTACACCTCCAGGACATGGAGGCGTGCAGGCATGATTCGAGCTAACCCGTGTCACCCTGGACACGGTCTCTTTGACTCGCTCCCATCAGGCAGGAGGCGCCGCTCCAATCAGACCAGAACCTCGCCACAAGAACAGTTTCTTCCCCTCTGCTGTTGGACTCACGAATGACAATCCTAGGAATGCCCACTCCAGTCGCTTAGTTCCAGTCACCTGACCTGGTGTTGTGTTTGCACCTGACTGTTCAAACTACCAAACTCCCAATAAAACGTCACCTGCTTATGTTTTTGTTCTCAAAATGCAAAAAACTGAAATCTGACGTGTTGGGATCATGTTTTCAGAGCGATCATCACTATAAATATATATATATGAGGATTTTTGTTATCAACACGTCATGATTTCTGCAGAACATCCCATAAACGGTCATCCATGTGGAGACACTGGTATGCGTATCTTTTATCATTTATATCGTTTTGATGTGTTTTTTATTTAGTTCCTTTTTAATGTGGACCTTGAGTCTGATAATAAAGGTGATGATGATGGAACCACTGGACCAGTTCTAAAGGAATGCTCTTCATCCTAATTCAGGACAACCAGTTCAGGCAACATCAACATCAGCACTGATGAAATACTGATGATGTCATATTTCTACTTCCTGTTTTCACAGTAAACA